TCTACCACATTTTTTTCCAGATTCTACCACACTAATTTTTTTTCAAGTCCGATCACTGGCTCTCAGTGCCCAGCCTCTGGCTACCTAGGCCAAAATTTATTTTTAAGGATTTTATTGGACGCTCAAGAAAGAAGTTCATTCTCTATAGCCAAAAATACACCAGAAAGGAAGTTCAGTTTGAGCAGAAGGTCAATTCCATAATACAGGCATAATATTTCCTGTAGAACCCTAAAACCACGAGAAAACTACTCGGGCTATTAAGATTAATCTTACGTTTCCTAATCTGGTCCTTAGGGAGTTGCAAATTTGGACTCTGACCCCTTACTGAATATTTTACTTGCCTAGCCCTTATCACAAACATGTATAGTGAGTGAAAACTGCATACGTTTTGGATACAGCCGCACCCTAATGTGCGTTCATAGTTAATCAAAGATTTGACAAATAATCTAATATCCACGCTCGCAACCACAACGAAGCTTGTGGAGAAGTGGAAAAGAGAATCCACCAATTTGCTTACACCCAATTACTTAATATATTCTGGCGTTAGAATAATATTTTTACTATTTTTATGGTATTTCGTTTTTGTGTTTAGCCTCCACTAATATTCACAATTCTCTTTTTTTACAGAGCATACATTTTTCCTTGCCTTTTTTGTCGCTTATGTGTCACCAGGCACAACCATAAATTCTCATTTTTGCAGCGTATCATTATCGTGCATGCCAAGCGCCTAAAATGCTGCCTCGCGCGCACATACAATACACTAGCAAACACGGATGCATACTGCATACATACACACACACACTTACCAATATATAGTTTTCTATGTAGCTAGGACATTTTATTTTTTTATGTTTTTTGTGGCTGTAAATATCACTACACATTAGCATCAAGTGAAATCGTCAAGATTAGATTATTTATGGTTGACACTTTAGCTGTCCATGGTAAATAGGAGTCGCAATCTTAGAGGGAAGTATAACAACACGAGGAAGCTTATAATGAAAGCAGTGAAGCAGAGTACCTAAAGCCAGAAAAGAAAAAAAATGTATATTTCTTGGAAAAATTCGTACAGCTTGCGTAGAATGTCAGTATACCAAAGGACAGACCATAACAGTCGTCACTTGTACGCGAAGCAAAAGCAAATGCAGAGAGGCGAAAGCAGACCCGCACTACAGTGAAGTGGTTGAATTCGAGAAACATAGTGAATGTTGGACGCTTTCACAGTGACGCTGGAGTGAACAGGGAGGGTGGTATGAAAGAAAATACATTTTTTATGAACATAATAAATACGCTCAATCATCATCAATTCCCGCTGCTTTAATGATACTAGGCTACACACACACACACACACAGGCACATTAGTGCGTACATAAATTGAGTGAAATGTGGTGGAAACCAAAGGCGGAGAAATACATAGCTACTAGTAGGTATTATAATAGCAAATTACTAGAGATTCACTATAAGTAAAAATATAACTGAATAGTTGAGTATGTGAAGCCAGCGGGAAGACAGCTGGACAGAGGGTTGTTATGCGAATACAAGCAAATGCCTGCAGATGTGGCTGTTAGGGGGAGGCAGTGTAAGATGAAACCGTGCAAAAAGTCTGGCGCCTGGCATAACGGCAAATAGTGGAAGAAGTGCCTAGTGATTGGTACTGGTATTTCTAGGAATGGTAATGGTAATGGTGCTGACAGCAGTAATGGTAGTGATACTGATAGAGGTAATGGTAATAGTGATGCAAAAGGAACTGGTATGGGTACTGGTGCTGGTAATGGTAACGGTATTAGTAATAGTAATGGTAACACTTTTGCTGATAGTAATGATAATGATAATGGTAATGGTAATTGTTATGGTAAGGGTAATGGTAATAGTAATGGTGATGTTTATGTTAATGATAAGGGTAATAGTAATGATAATGTTAATGGCAATTGTAATAACGGTAATTGTTATTGTAGTGGTAATGATACTTATAATGGGAACGCTATTTCTAATAGTAATGATTGTGGTAATAGTAATGGCAATTGTAAGAGTAATGGTAGAGGAACTTGTACTGGTGCTGGTAATGGTAACACTATTGTTGATGGCAATGATAATGCTAATGGTAATGGTAATGGTAACGCTATTTCTGATAGTAATGGTAATGGTAAATGTAATGGTCTTAATAATAGTAACGGTAACGCTATTGTGGATAGTAATGGTAATGGTAATGGTAATGGAAATTTTAATTGTAATAGTAATGGCAAAGGATCTGCTACTGGTGCTGGTAATGGTAACGCTATTGCTGTTAGTAATGATAATGGTAATGGTAATTATAGTGGTAAGGGTAATGGTAACGGTGGTGGTAATGTCGACAATGATGTTCAGTGCTTTTAACCATTACTATGACTCTGAAGACACTTCTGAACGAGCAAACCTGTTATCAAACAGCAGACGACCGTTAAAGATTGCAGAAAATTACACTTTTCTGTAGATGAGTAGAAAGGTTTACCGTCATTTGAGTGTCTTAGTTAGATGTACTTCTATTCACCAACGTTTGCTTTTTTACTACAAAGTAATATCCTACTTTCTGTGATGCATATCGCCACTACTTTCAAGCCTACATTTAGGCGCTCTTGCGGAATTATTCTAGCGCTTACGCTTATACAATTCTATGCAATAAGCTATGTCCGTAGGCAGTATTACTGTTACAGGGCTCTTGTGTACGAAATATACAAATGAAATCGCATTCAATAAAGGAAGGTGCGAAATTGTGATGTGCAAGGATAAATAGTCGAGTGACACTTTCAATAGAAAAGAAATATATACAACTAAGCGCAATCGGTAGGTGATTGGAAGCTTACCATTGGACTAAACAACACACGGTAATAGGAAGTAACAGAAAACTATTTATTGTCAATCTTTCGCCATAGAAATATTCTTACATCTACCCACCGGCGAAGGGCAGTAAGTGTTATTTTCTGGCTTTACGTCATCTAATGTGTATTCCCATTTAAGTGGACACAATTAATTGTGTCATCAGGTCAGTGGTGACAAGGCAACAATGCCAAGCGATGAGCTTTGATAACAAATGAATCCATCAACAGCATTGAAGTTAGGTAAGAATCTAGAAAAACACCAAATTTGTATACTTAGACTTTGTTTAAGCTATGAAAATCGTCAAAATTAAGTTACAGGTATTCATTGATCAAAAAGAAATTCAGCAATTTTTCTAAAATTTCCCAATTTATATATGTATTTTATGTGTGCAAATATTTGATGACTGTTAACACGAAAAAATAAACCCACTATGCTAACAGCCACTCTTGCGGTTATTATCTTATCGCAACGCTCTGCTAATGATATTTGTGTACCCACATACACACACTTACAGGATACTCCTCGTCATTAGGCCACTCAAGGACTCATTTAGTGGCTAGCCAGTCGGCCCAATCATTCAACACTCACACGCACATATAAGGCGCATTTCGTTCAAGTAGCTTTTAGTAGCAGCAGCAATTTAGGGGCGTTGTGTTGCAAAATCTAGACATTTACGCCTAAAATGCTGCAACGCCTCAATATCATTTTCGTTTTTGTTTGCCTTCGAGCATACTTTTATGAGCGTAATTTTTTCTAGACATATACTAACAGGTTCTGCAGCCTCTTTGGATGGCTGTCTGTTTTGTAATATAAATATATATTTTTTTCTCGTAATTATTTTGTTTTTTTCGGCTGTTGCTGCTTTCGCGAAATATATGATAACAATAAATTACACGCACGAATTGTTATTGTGTTGTTTCTTTTTAACATTCGGGAGTGTATTTAAAGCGTAGAAAGCCCGAAAAAATAACAAGATTGTATATGGGTCGCAAGTGGTTGGTATCTACCACAATATTTTTCTTTCTTTTTATGTTGTGTTGATATAGTAAAAGTGAAATGGAATTGTTTGCATGTCCCTTTAGCGACAAGGAGAAACAGAAATGGAAATAATGTGGTTGTGTAGAGTGCGACGCATCTTACGAAGGATGATGCTGGTGATTAAGGCATAATTGGAAATAGTGATGCGGATGAAGTTTAGGAAAAGCATGAAGATGAATATGAAGACAAGAATGGAAATGAAAGTAGAAATTTATTTTAAAAAAATCAGAGATACATACGCAAATGGAATTGAAATCGACAAAGGAAAGGTAAAAGGCAAATGCAAATAAATACCATAAAATGACAATGAAGAGAAAGAAGGGGAAGAATGATATGAAAAAAATTGCACTGGAAGTTAAAAGAAAAGACAAAAAAGGGCTAAGAAAGAAAAGGGCAAGCGATAAAGGAAAGAAAATACATTAACGGATTAGGAAATTATTGAAATAGAACTGAAGAGAAAGTAAACGACGAAAACATTACACGAACGACTGAAATGGTAAAATAGATTGGCAACAAATTCTATTAAAATGGCATAAAAAGGAATAAAAAATATTTTACAAAAATTTTAAGCGGAAATGAGGAAGGGAAAGAAAATAAAACAAAATAAAATAAAAAACAAAATAAAACAAAATAAAATAAAACAAAATAAATAAAATAAAATAAAATAAAATAAAATAATATAAAATAAAATAAAATGGGGCGCGTCCCCTCGTGCGGATAGGGGAATGCCCGGTAGAAATACAGGGTAGGTAAAATACCGCCCGTGGATCAAAACTGGTAAATGCAGTGAAAAGGGTAATCCCTTTACGTGCTTGGCAAACACGCATGTCACAGCCAACCTTGTAAGGGCTAACCACCCGCACAAGTGTCTTTATGGTTCCTAATATATTAAGGGAAGCCTCGGACGAGCATCGCAATGGTCAGGGGCGATGCGGGACACTACAGCCTGATCAACCGAATGACGAACCGGATATGAATATGATTTTGCAACCGCTCCTGAGTGTTTCACCGAGTTAATTGGTGACCACAAGGGCGGTATCTCCAACGAAACCAACAAAAGCGGATATAGGACACGACTGCACGAACTATTTAAGCAAGCATACCCCAACATGAATGTATCAGTACAAAGGATAGGGGATCAACGGAGTGCAATAATTAGAAATAAGTATCTATCAGCCCGAAGACTCAACGAATTAAAGAATGAAGTAGAATACCAGCTATCTACCGAACTTGAAATCGTTAGAACTCAACAAAATGATGATTATATGACGCCTGTTGACGATATTTATCAACATGACGAACACCAAGCGATAAACGCATTAACAAATGTTGACGAAAATGAAAACTTGACGATACTAAGAAATGAATTCAATGCTGCAATGATAGAGTTCAATGGTACGGATTCATTACTACGCCCATTTCTTCCCAAACAAAAAGCTACAAAAAGTTTGGCTATAGCGACTTCTATTATGAACAAAGAAATATTGCCTACTTTTATTTTAAATAATAATTACACGTTTGAAGAACTGCAGACTGCAATATATGTGGCTGCAACAGCCGTTATTCGTTTCACTGGAGGGAAAATTGTTAGCTGTAGAATACCTCCCAAAAAGAAGTCAGTCGATCCGCCATGGAAACACAGACTGGCGTCTCAAATAAAAGAGCTACGAGCTACAATTGGTCGGCTAATACAGTACATGAACGGAAACCGGACGAAAAAGATGCGTAACTGGTATGAAACTTTTAAACTCGAAAATAAAAAGCACTCCAAACATGATCCGTCGAATCAAACAGCTGAACAATACCTAGATACTATCCGCCAAAAACTAGCTGTTAAGTCAAACCGTTTGCGTAGGTATACTCTATCAGAAAAGAGAAGAACACAAAACATATCATTTCAGCGAAATGAAAGAGGGTTTTATAGAAATCTTAAACGCAACAAGACTGAAGATATAACCGAAGTACCTAGCGCCGAGCAAATCGAAAGCTGCTGGAAGTCTATATGGTCAACCAGCACCAAACATGCAACCGATTCAGCGTGGATCCACGATGAGTACAAGAGAACGGAATCTATAAAAGCTATGGAAGACGTGACTTTCAATGAGGCCGATATCAAAAAAGCTGTAGAGAGCACTCAAATTGGCGGGCTGCAGGGCCAGATGGTATTTATAATTATTGGTTAAAAAAGTTTACATGCACACACAGTATGGTAGCTCAACACTTTACAAAATTCCTCAAACATGAATCCCAAGTACCGAACTTCTTAATGAAGGGATGTACATATCTGCTACCAAAGGACCCAAAAGATACGAAGAACCCTTCTAAGTATCGCCCCATCACGTGCCTATGTACGCTATATAAAATTCTTACATCTTGTTTAGCCGAAAAAATATGTACTCATCTTGATACGCACAACATTCTAGCCATCGAACAAAAAGGATGTGTTAAAAACAGCAAAGGCTGCAAAGAGCAGCTGATAATTGATACAGACATAATGGAGCAAGCATATCATAATCAAAGAAATATTTATACATCTTATATCGACTTCAAAAAAGCCTTTGACACTGTTCCGCATTCTTGGATTTTGGAGGTTTTAGACTTTTATAAAATATCGCCGAACATAAAACGTCTTATGCAGCAACTTATGAACTCATGGAATGTTACTTTAAAACTATTTCATAATAAAGGACTCATAAAACCCGCTCCCATACCTATTAGAGGTATTTTCCAAGGAGATAGCTTGAGTCCGATATGGTTTTGTCTGGCGTTAAATCCACTTTCTTCGATACTAAATGCGTCAAACTACGGCTTTAGTTTAAAAGCACCGCGTGTATCGCAATATAGACTTTCACACCTACTGTACGTGGATGACATAAAGCTATATGCTGCAAATGAACGTCAAATGAATACGCTACTGGAACAAACAGAAGATTTTTCAAATGATATAAAAATGTCGTTTGGAGTAGAAAAATGTCGAAGATTAAGTGTGGAAAATGGAAAACTTATAAGGCGAGAATTAGAATTAATGACTCATGAAACTGTAGACTCAATGACAGAAGGCGACACATATAAATACCTTGGTATTTTACAGGCTAGGAGGATGCAGCACAGTGAAATAGTTTCAGCCGTAACTAGTGAATACCTCCAAAGAGTAAAGAGCTTGCTGAAATCATGCTTGAATGGGGATACCGGTTTTAACATACACCTTTGGTGTAGTAAAATGGTCCGAAACAGAACTGGAAAACGTCAAGAGAGCAACAAGGACATTGTTGACAAAGTATGGGACGCATCACGTCTCTACTTGCCACGTCGACAGGGAGGTCGAGGGATGGTAGACAAGCAATTACATAATAAGTGTAAACAAAGCCTTCGTTTATACTTCCACAACCAAAAGAACAGCCTACTCCAAACCGTGTGCGAAGCCGATTTAAAATATTCACCATTAAATCTTAGTGAATTTTCTGCAATCGAATTAATATCAGGAACGCAACATATCCAGTCGCTCATGGAAGACTGGAAAATGAAAGCGGTTCATGGCAGATATCCACATGTTCTAGACGCTCCTGAAGTAGATAACGCTTCTTCCAACGAATGGTTAATTCACTCCGGTAGCTACGCCGAAACTGAAGGTTTTATGATCGCTATACAAGATCAAGTTATTGCGACTAGAAACTACTCGAAATATATTATGCGTGCGTCCGTTGAAAACGACCTATGCAGACGATGCCAAAAGCAAACAGAAACCATCCACCACATCACAGGAGCTTGTGTCACGTTAGCAGCCACCGAATACTTAACCAGACATAACCAGGTGGCAAAAATTGTACACCAGAGTCTAGCGATACAACATAAGCTAGTAACGGAAGAGCTGCCGTACTTTAAATATACTCCAGACGCTGTAATTGAAAACAGAACGAGCAAGCTATATTGGGACCGATCAGTTTTGACGGACCGTCCAATGCCACACAACAGGCCGGACTTAATAGTGGTCGAAAAAGAAGTGAATCAAGCGTTCCTCATAGATATAGGCGTACCAAATACTCACAATCTTCAAGATTGTTATATGGAGAAATACAGAAAATACCAGAGCTAAGCATACGAGATAAAGGATTTGTGGAAATTAGAAAAAGTAGAGGTGATTCCAGTTATAATTTCGATAACAGGAGTTATTCCAAAATCATTGAACACTAGCCTGGAAAAACTCAACATGGTAGAAAAGCGAAGGGCCATACAAAAATCTGTGATATTATCTACATCATCGATAGTTCGTAAATTTCTGAATATAAATTAGCATTAGGAAACAGTAAAACTTGCAACTGTGTAGTATTGTCAATATCCGTTTGTAACCAATCTGTAGATTATATTTCTCTTATACTACTTTATAATCAATAGTGTTAAGTATTTTGTTGTATACCAACCAATACTTGATGTGAACCCGTAACGGAGAAACAATAAAAAATAAAATAAAATAAAATAAA